ATGCCCGGATTTTTATCTTTTAAAATCTAATGAATCCTTCAAAAATCTTTTCAAAACTCATCTGGATGAAGATTTCAGAGTTAAAGGACAATTATTATATCACGACTATTTTTATAATAACAAAACGAAACTCCATGCCTGCCTTTTAAACGTGAAGAGATCGTCTTAATTAATAAGATTCGTTCCAATCACTACAATTTATACAGGATGAATCAGAGTCGTTGAACCAACTTCCTTACCCTATGAAGAAAATTATCAACTTCATACCTATTGATTATAATGTGCGTGTAATCGATAATTTTCTTATAGGGCAAAAAGCTGGGTCAACCACTCTGGTTCACCCTGTATAATACATGCACCGCAAAAATATAACTGACAAGTGCTTGCGGTGATCCGCGACAAGATATCAATTATGTTTTTACTGTCCATTAACTATTCTTAAAGTCTGGTCTTCTGAGAGCTTTTCTGAAGAAAAATTTTCCTTTCGCTCCTATTGAGCTATTCATCCTTATTGTTTGTCAAATATTAAACGAAGACAAATGATACTCACGAGCGTTGTCAGCATGAATCGGACCACGGCCTTGATCTTCACTTTATTTTAGAACGTCCATCTGTTAAACTTTATTACCTTTTGTTGGCATTTTTCAAATCAGTCGATCTTTCTCCATAATTCTCTTTTTCTCGGGGCCCACCCTTTTGTTGCTACCTATCTGAATTGAAATGTTTGAGTCGTTTTCCTGTAGCCATATAGTGCTATTTCAGTCTTCACCGGGACCCTTGGTTATTGCTTTTATTTTAGCTATCTGTTTCGTCGAAGGAACGGGGATCATTTTCGTGCAAAGAAGAAGAAAAAGTACTATTGAAATTGGTAAAATTTGATGAAGAGCATCTTCGTCATATATACTTACTTTACTACTTTAATTTGAAGAAAACTGTTGCTGAAGCTAACTGATACATCTTATTTTGAATCTACTCCATCACTTAAAAAGTGTCAGTATTGGTATCGACGATTTAAAAGAGGCGATTTTGATTTGAAAGGCAAAGAACGTTCAGGTTAACCAAAAGTGATATATATATATAT